CCCCAAAACCCCAAAACCCCAAAACCCCAAAACCCCAGATAGCGGTGGGCAGATGGAATAGTTATAAAAAGAAGAATATTAGTAATTATTAATATTTGAAATACTAATGTCAACTCAAACTAATTTTTTGGATTTAAATTCCCAAAAAAATTTCAGAAGAAACTATGACTTTAACAAGAATTCAGTTCCTTTTAAGGCTTCTTGCCAGCAGTTGCCAACACTAAATGCAGTTTCACACTCCTTAGTTCCGATTACAACGTTGGATTGGGAGTATTCCAATTCTGCACAGCAGAGTATCCAAAATCTCTATACTCATTCAGAGCCATACCTCATAGAGTTTCCAATGCAGCCCTATTATGCTTGTCAAGAACTGGAAGAAATAGCAACTCCTGGAGAAAAGCAGAGTACTCCAAGATCTCATGGATCTACTGTAATACTCCCTCTACCAGAGCACACAAACTTGAGAGAAAAGAGATCTTTTAGAGCTCCGGTGCCTGCTGATATTTCTACTTGGAGTAAAGACTTAGCAATCCCAGAAGCTCGCTCAAACAACACTAGGGATATCAGCAAGGCCTTAAACTATATGTCTCCAAAGCAAATGAAAGCCTCCAATAAAAGCAGTTCTAAGAAATCTAGTTGCTCACGAAGCTTTTGCTTATGAGATATGACTAGAAGCCAGGCTAGTCTTGCGAAGAAAGTGGTGACTCCCAACAACATGAGGTTCTTTAAAGAGCTCAGTCATTACTACTACAAGATTAAGCAAGAAATTTCTCCATCCAGCGGGAATCCTTTTCCTAAATATGTCTGAAAACACAAAGGTTCTTGAAACAAAGAGTTTGAAAGAACATGGAATCTTTTGGATCACTGCAGAACTCATTTCGGAGTGAAGCCTTACAGCTGAGATGTCTGTGGGCGAAAGTTCACCCAGAAGGGGAACAGAAACAAGCACATGCTCAAACATAATAATTGTTCTTAAATATTGTTCTTCTTAATTCTGCTTCAAATTCAGGGATACAAATCCATCTTCTTCAGCTTGATGGGATCATACGGCAAGGGTTAGGTCTTGGTATCTCTGAGAGAAATCAAACTGAGCAAAGATAGACTAGTAATAATACTCCTTAGATTTATTGGGATTCGCAAAGTTGGTAACGCTACTTTAGGAATTTTCTACTGCCTCCTAGGTTCTAATTGTACAGAAAATACAATATTTCTAAAGTCCATCTGTTCTGAAATTTAAAGAAAGAGGGTCTATTTTAGATGGCTACAAGTCTAAGAGGCGCTCTCAAGAAGACTCTTTGCCTTTTGAAAGAGTCTTTGCTCTCCAAAGTTTGCCATAAATTTATAGTCTTCTTTATTATTTCTCATAAACCAACTGACGAAATTTGTGTTTTACCTACATTAATTTTTATGGATTTTTAAACCTTGAAATGGCATGGATAGGTGTCATAGGAACGTGGCTTCTATTTTATTAATTGCTGCCTGAACCCTGGATCTCTAAAAGCCATTTAATACGATAGAAATAATTCTGAAATATCCCTAGCTTCCTAATTTAGGACTTCTTCTTTGTTTGTAAAGCTATCTAAATTTTGAGGACAAGGAATCAATCCAGTTTATTTATAATCAGAAAATTGTAGGATTAATTATTTCTTTCAAATTAGGGTTAACACTTGGGAATCCTTAAGAAGAACTTTGGAAATTATTGATAGGGTCTGGCTTGGTTCATCTAATATGTTTCACTTGATTATTATTTAAAATAGTATTTAGGCAAGCTAAATTTTATTGTCTCTCAATTTAATAAGCCTTCTAGTTTAAAGACACGAAGTCTTTTTAATAAAAACTCCAAAATATATTCTGATTAATTTGCTCAATGCAATAGTAAGAAAAGCGGTGGCTGTGAAGCTTATAACTGAGTAATTAAATATAATGCTTAGAAGATTAGAGTCAAGTAAATAGCCCTCTGAAGTCCATCTGTCTTGCTATTTTATACTTATGAATTCATCGGGCTAGGAATATTTAATCATTACCACGAGGCATATGGTCTATAGATGCTGAAAGCATTCAGCATCCTAAATTCATTCAGTAGGTATTCTAAATCCCAAGAAATAAACTATCCAATTGAAATGTTTCTTGATTATATCCCCCTCGTTTTGGGAAAAAGTGGCAGTGATTGTATAGCAAATTTATTGACAAGTAAATATTTTCCTAATTCTCAATTTCACATTTTTTCGAGAAGATCCATGCAAAACACTGGAAGCAGAATACTTATGAAATTAAGAAGAGTCTGAGAAGTCTTTAGAAGGTTTAATAGGAGTCAAAATTGCATTGAAGCAATCAGATAGCTTTGATATTTATATCTCCACCCCAACTTCCATTAAAGGGAAAATTTCTTAAGGTCATAAGAGTGAAATCTTGATTTTAATAAGAAGAATTCATTTGTTTGTTGCTATAATTCTCGCATGGTTTGAATTCTCAACTTTCTTTCTTGCTGAGAGTATGTTTGGAATACTTAAACTAGAAGCTATGAATCCAAAAAGCCAGGAAAGCTGATCCAGATGAGGACACAAAGCGTTTGTTACAAAAATCTAAGTATGAATAATGGCCCTAAGAAAATTCAATTTTAGTAGCAAGGGGGTCTTCAAATTAATATTTCTGAAATAAATAGAAACTATGGCAAGAAGTATAGAGAAGTCTTCTCTAACTCTTAACTTACATTTTATCTACATATCCCCTACTCAAGCATGAAAATAGCTTAGGTAAATGACTTGTGAATCCTTGATTTAGCTATGATTCATTGATTTCCCAAAGCGGTGTAAAATTTTAGTAGAATAATAAAAATTCTGATTTCAGATTTTACCATATTTTAGAATTATTATGCTCACGTAAGCTTGCTAATCATGCTTGAGGACGAGGAAGACATTTGTAAAATAACTAAAAGGTTAATATTGAGACTGTCTGACATTATTAACATCACTCTAAGTCCATCTAATCCTCCTTTCATCTCAGAAATAATTATGTACTTAGAAAATTCATAAGAAATATTCAACTTAAAATTTCTTATTTGAATTTTGCTAAGCCAAAACTTTCAGCCGAAAAAGTTTTGAATGCTTAGCTTTTTGCTAATATGTTATTAATAATTAAGCATGAAGTATAAATCAGTACTATTTGATCAGTATGAAAGGTATCTCTGAATTTGTCTTAGGAATATGATCTTCCTGAGCTCTACCATTAAGGACTCTATTCGGCAGGTGACTCTGTTTTAACTGATTTGAGGAGCTTATAAAGATGGTGGTGCTAATAAATCCGACTATTTTTATGAGAGTAAGTTCTATTAAATTCAGTTTTTATTCATATATTAAAATATTCCACCGCTTTGAATTATTCTCAATATTTTAAAGTTTTAATGTTCATCAAATTTTACAACACTTCTTACATCTAACTCTCTATCATCATCAATACTAATCTAAAAGCCCCCTACTATCCAAATACTGCTCAGTTCTACCATAATCTTATCAATTTCGGTCACTCTCTTTCCCTGCCAACCCAATTTCCCAAAAACCCCAACTCAAAACCCCAAAACTTCCTCACATAGAACTCTCCTTCAGGCAAGGTCAGCCCCCTCTGCCCACTGCCAGACTACTTAAAAGTTCTGGATTTCCTCCTGTAGAGTAGGCTACAGTAGGAAATTTGTACTGGGAGAAGAACGTGGTGACTGGGAAGAAGGAAATTTGGAGGGGTTTTGGGTGTGTTTAGGGGAGTGAAGGGGTGTAGGTGGGGGTTTAATTCAATTGTTTTGGGTATGAAAGGGGTTTTGGGGTTTTGGGGTTTTGGGG